CCTCCCCTGCCACTCATTCGTGCTCTTTGCAGGCCGCCCCGACAAAAGCCCTTTTTTTATTATTCTTACAGTTCCACGTTGTCCAGCCATCCTCCATGTTGTTGCATCCCTGGGACAACCCTCCTTTTGCTATCTTGCAGTCCCACACATTCCCCATTATTGTCACTGCTTTAAACAACCATTCTTAACTGTTTTGCCGATGCTCCAGTGGCTTAAAATCATTCCCCGTGCCACCTTATTGTTACCCAGCCCCTCTTCCTTGCGGCCACAGCCTATAACAACCCACCTTCTCACTTTTCTGGCAGTTTCTCACATTTCTCTTGCTGTGACCATCACACCCTTGTAGCCACCCCGCCATCCAGCCTTCCAAACCGCCAACCAAACACCTCCCCTGTGGGATAAAAACCTAGTTGAGTGTTTTGTCTATTATTTTTCCCTTTCCTTTTTGTTGGTTGTAATTGTTTGTTGATTTTTTCAATAATAATATTTGTTTGTTTATTGTTACTTGGATTAACTCTGGTGTCACTAAAAGTTTTATATTTCCATACATATAACACTTAAGTGTGTTAAACCAATGCATGAAAAAGGTGTATTTCACTTTGAAAAGTGATATTAGTGTTATTTTTTATGTGATATTAAAGATTTGAGTGATATATGTGTAAATATGAAAGTTTAAGTGTGTGATATGTAAATACATAAGAATTGTGTGCTTTGTATGTAAGTGCCCCTGGTTTAAATTAAAGAAGAAAAAGAAACTCATGCAAAGTTATCAATCTAAACCACCGCATTGAATTACAAAACATTCACCAATGGGACGGTTAACTTGCAAAATTTAACAACAAGCCAACTGAAAATGATTAGAGATATTCAAATTCAAACAACAAACAATTCTATAGTGTATGCTTTCTCCAGATGGCAAATTACACAATTCTTCATTAACACATAAGCATAAGAAAAAACATATCTTTTTGGCCTACAAAACTGCTCAAATCTACCCTAAACTTTAACCAAATGCGAGAACTCAAACTTCCATCAGAATTCAATAAGAAACCAACCATGCTAAACTTTAACAAATTCAGATATCAACATTTCTTATGAATTTTTTTTCAGTTAACTTACGCAGAGACAATTTCTTTTCCAATTCTGCTGTTTCTTTTCATCTTCTTCAAATTCTGAGCATCCTGCAAATTGAGGTACATTCATCACAATAAAAATGTGCAAACCCATCAAAATCAGATTTTTACGCCTTAAAACAACCCAGCACTCTTGAAGACAAGTAGCCCTCCGAGGTTTAAGCCATTAAAACAGCAGAAATACAACCAAAATCACATAAAATGGAGCTTGACTAAATACTAAACCTAAACAGCAGCACCTTTCTCCCAGCGATCTTGCAAGAACGCCTTCCCATACAAAGAGGGGAAGTTGTCCATATCCTCCTCTTTCTCTGAGCTCCGCCTACTGTGGGCGAAAATCTAGAAGGCGAGATTCCTCGAAGAAAACCTAGCATCAGAAACATGGTGCCGTGGTAAGCAGATGAGATGGTTAATTAGAACAACAGAGTTGGTGCAGGAACAGTAGACGTACTGTGCTTAGTATAGGGTTTCTGAAGCGAGATTAAGGAGAAGATACCGAGTGAAGGAGAGGCTTTTTGGAAAACTGATCCGAGAATTCTTGCGGTAGAAGCCATTGCCCTTTATTGCGAGTTTATAGTGCTTGCGCAAATGCCCCAATAGGAATCTGCGAAGGCTGCACGGACATCACACACACTCTGGAATTGGATCAGTCCCGGACTCTTTGCCAATGTATAAATTTAAAGCTTTTTTTATGTGATATCAAAAATTCAAAATTTTGGGTGTGTAAAAATAAAAATGTTAGGTGTGAAATCTTTATGTGATGTAAATACACAACATTTGTGTCTTGTGTATGTAAATGCCCCTTTATTTTGAGAAATTTACATAAATAGCATACAATTCTTATGCATTTACATTTCTCGTGCCTAAACTTTCATGTTTATATACATAGCACCATGAAGACAATTGGGTCGCCAAATTAACATTCAAGTGGTGTCAAGCGACATTAATCGGTATCTAGGGAATTGGCGAGAGACCGAGCAAAAATATATTGGCGTCTTTAGAGGGTATAAATCAATGCCTCATCTTATTATGTATCAAAAGTTTCACTTAGTAGAAAAATTAACAGTGTCGCCTTGGATCGATAGGATCTGATAGGTGATTTCACCAGTCTTAAGTCCCATGTTGGACACTTCTAATAGCCTAAAGGTCATAGGTGTGAGATTGCGCTGGTTCGCCGTAAAGAGTGATTACCTCTCCATCACATTGAAAATTCACATCCACGTGGTAGGTTGAGGTGAAAGAATTGAGTGGGGGATGTCCAAATATAGTTCTCTTGGTGGATGGAGAGTCGACCACCTAAATAACCGTCATATTAGTGAACTAATCGTCGTTTTCTCCCCAAATGACCGGTATGGTGATGGTTCTCAAAGTTTCCTTCATTTCAATAGAAAATTCATATAGTTGATTGATTGATAGTTGATTGATCGCTATCAGTCGTTCATTATTGAGTCTCATTTTGTTGAACATTGACTAGAACAAAATGTTTACAGAGATGTCAATATCGATAAGAGTGTCGTTGATCCAGTTGTTGACGATTAGTGTTGTAATGGTGACAACATTGTTGCAGGGGGTTACCCATATGGGACAAATCTTTATTGGTGAAGGCTATAAGTAGATGAGAGCTGTGTTTAGGCATAAAGGAGGCTACACATAGTTTTCTCGACCAAATACTCAAACTAAGTTAGTGGGATAAGCCTCCACCTGCTCTAAAGATGCCAGGAACTATCTCTGCAATGTAGAATCCATGGGTTCAAATTGGCTTGACTGATATTTCCTCCACTAGAGTCCTCTATTGTAGTTGGGTCATTGCTCTGGTGCCACAAACTTCTTTAATTTTTTGGCCTTGATTAGCTCTTCGATCAGGCCTCGAATATCTCGTCTGTGTCATGCCCGTGGACTCAATGGTAGGCAAAATACTTTGTCAGATCCTAAAGATACTTTTTGACATTCATATGTGGTTCTTTTTTTAATCATTTTTTATTATGTGTGGCATTCACTATCTCAATCATTGAAACTCTCATAGAAGTTGTTTTGAGTGAATTTTGGTTAGACAATGAGCATTTGTCATATCGAGTCGGTAGCTAGTCATGATATATGGCCTAATTCCCTCGACGTTGCTCTATGTCAGTCGCTCTATGAGTCTCGTGGCAACCAAGTATCTTCATGTTGAAGACAGGCATAATGCCTCGAATTATGTCTAGGTCTCCATCCTTCTTCTTTGGCATCACTTTTTTTCCAGTTGATCGGTGGAGGATTCTACTCGGGATAAAGTGGGGTTGGATATTTATTTCTCGGTCGATATGTGGCTGCAGACCAACTCCAACAACCCAACTAGCCTCTTCGACCAATACAGGCCTAGCGTGTATCATTAATGTTCTTCCTTCAACGTTTGAGCTAGGGCATCATGCGTGACCGCGAGTTCCAGGTATTGTACTTCCAACTTCTCCTTCTGAAAGCGTGTAATGAATAAGTGAACGCTCTCGCTCTATTTCTGGTGGATCTGCATGAGGACTTTTGTGTGTCAGTGATTCTTAATAGGTGTGCAGTCAACTCAAATGAGGCTAAGTGGTTAGTATGTTCGGTCTGATCCCTATAAAACTCCATTTTCAGGACCTCAAATAGCTATAGAGGCTCAAACTTAAGGATTTGTCGAGAGAACATATTCTCGGGCCGTCAGAGAGCCTCAATACACCCAAACTGTTGCTAGTTAATCGGGACCAACCCAACACAATTGAAGCACATGAATTCTTCTTCTCTTTTCATTGTTGGGGGGACTTTTGACGTTGGGCACCGTCCCTTCATCTCGAGGGTGTTGCTCCCTTCCTCGGGTTAGCACATTTCAGATGACCTCCAACATCCGATCATTCAACTTTTGTATATGTTGAGCTACAAACACTATGATGCATTACATATTATCAGAGTCTATGTTGTGGGTTTTTTTCATGTGCTACTCATTTTCTTGTTTATGAAATTTTTCACGTTCATCACATCTATTAGGTTGAATCTTGATTTATTGTGAACCATAACAAAAGAATAAAGCGTAAATAAGAAGAGAGAGGGACGAATACGTTGAGAAGAGTGAACATTAATGTATATTAGTTTGTGTGTGCTTATTCACAAATGATCTTCGTATTTATATGGAAGG